CACGCACATTGAGCCAGCGCAGGACGGAGAGCTAAAGGTGCATCTGCATATGGGGATAGAAGGTTGTCCAGACATCGTGTACTGGAAGGCTGTCACGTATGACTCCATCAGTCCAACTGTGGCGGCCACAGTCGAACATAATGTTGAGGACCCGCATGACTTCATGGCAGAATATGTATTCTCGGAGTCCATTGCCAAGCTACGCCCAAAGTCGTTCACAACACATAATTCCGATGTGGTCAAAATAGAGTGGATGGGCATATCGACTGCTGCCGTGCATTACAGAATGAAAGCAGCGGGATACGCCTGGGCTAAATTGCCAAGGACGCATTACTGGGACCTAGCGGGGAATAGGGGGGAAAACGACGCAGAAATCAAGGTTTACCTTCCGAGCGACTCCAAGAACGCAAGGGCTATGTACGCCCTCTCCCCCATCGCTTCGCTGGCAAGTGCCGCCGTCGCGGCATCTGGTGCCATGGCGACCGGAACGGCTGTGGCTTCCTCGATGGCATCAACGGTCGCGGCTCCAAAGACGAACTTAATGCGGTCCGGGTTCCATTTGCAGTTCCTGTCAATGACGGCACACCTCGCGGTGCCCGGCATCTCCACTTCCTACAGAAACCTCGCGCAGAAATTCAGCTGGACAATGTTCACCACTGGGGCTCGCCCACCATGGCAAGCTAAGGCAAGCAGCTCGACGTTTGGGGACTCTGGTGGGAAAGTACAGGCAATCCGAGGAGGGCTCCCGTCTCCAGATTCGAGAAGAAAGCTGCGGGAAGTCAATGCCGAAACTGGCGAGCCTCAAGTTGTTCTTGCATCAAAACACCAACGCCATCTCACATTGTCAGCATTTGAAGATTCAGAATCCGAAGCGGCCAGGAAAGAGCTGTGCGTTGCGAGCATCACTGCTCTTATTGCTTTCGTGGTGGTCGTGACACTTCACTTCGGACTGAACACAATCATCAAGGCAGTGAGGCCGGAGGGAAATCTTCCCAAGCTACTGGTGTTCCCTCGGTTTGAGCTCCAGTTCTTGGCAGCCCTCGTCCCGGCCCTGTGCTTTCCAGCTTCCCGTCTGGCAAGCCTGCAAGGGACATCATCCAGGGCGGGTGGCCTGGTAGCAACAACTGTCATTGTTTTGCCTTACTCACTGTACTTCGTTGGCATATTGACAATCCGAGATCTCATCTTTTCCCCAATGATCTTCTACAGCCAATTCCAAGTTCTACAGTCTGGCTACGATGACGGACTCACTGTTGACAGGCTGCAACGGAAAACCAAGACATACCCCTCCTCAACAATCCCCAGTGACCTGCACAAAGCAACCAACACTGTGCCCGAATCCAACGGCTGGCGTGCACGACACCTTTCCTTGGTTAGGCAGCTGGGTTTCAGGCGTGTATCAGCAAGGATCTCTGTCGACAGCACAGCAGATTCGGCATCCCAAGAAAGCGGATTGAAACGTGATGAGCCATCAAGATCAACCGACGGTTCTTCGTCTTCGCTAGGGAGCTTCCAGGAAGTGTCGTGCAGATTACCTAATATTGAAGAAGAGGCGACCAATCGCTTGGCGGTCCCCAGGAATCGTTTGCCTCCCTTAGAAATCGTCCCACGGTCTACTGGCACCCACGAATCGAGGTTGCCCTCCACCGCCTTCGACTTCTTGCCCCCGATGGAGTTGTTTCACCAGGGCACTCCAGAAAAGTCGCAGTACGAAACAGTGGCAGCGGGGTTCGCTGCCGCTGGTAATATCGATGTGGAGCATGCAGAAGGCCATTTGGGGTCTCCTTGCTGTCCACCCCAGCCGCCGTCAGTGCTCTCAAGAAGCAAGTCTGCTTCTGTACAGTCGACGGGAGGTGCGAAGTTCAATCCTATCGGTTCTTCATCTTTTAACGATGCTCTCAGAATCGAGCCCAGCGAAGAAGAGCCGAACGAAGGCGATGTATCGCGCAGCTCGTTGCCCGCCACGCTGTCACTGCCCCACGTTGTGAAATCCGGCAGATCGAACACCAAACGCGAAGATGGCCGCTTTGAGCTGCCCCGCTTAGAACTGCCTGTCCCAAGAATTGCTATCAATGGCAGACCGGCTACGCAAGGCGCAGAGAATGAGGATGTCGATGGTGTCGCCTGGCCTGTGGTGGCGCAAACCCCTGCCAGATGCATGAGCGATCAATTGGGAAGAGGTCAATTCGAAGATTCCAATGACTGCCGGCAGGAATGGATGCTCGACCTTTGCAACCTACACAGCGAACAGTCCATAAGATGGGACAAACTGTTCGTGGCCAACTGGCCCGAAGAGGAGAGTGCTAACGAAGCCGTTGCCAGTCTCGAGCCTGTAGATGAGGGGAGAGGCGATGAGTCGGGATGTGATGTCGTCTGTGCAAAACCTCACTCCGGCGATCGGCAAGAGCTGGAAAGGGAAGAACTGGCCGACAGCGGTGTTTTTTGCGACCCTCAAGGTGTCCTTGGGCGGGATCAGAGTGCACAGTGCAATTCTGGCGCGGGTGAGAAGAGGGAAGGACGGATTACGGGACCACAAGCTGGGGTTTGCAAAAGAGCAGCGACACTGCGCACATCTCGTGGGGAAGGTAAGAAATTGAATTCCAAAAGGGTGCCCAAAAGCCAAAAACAGGACGCAAAGGGCAAACGAAGGAATAGTGTGAAGCCCCCACGTCCTGGCCCTGTTTGGGAAGGGCTGTCCAGCTCCGCCTCGGACGAGACATCGGTGCTGCTGAAAAGGTCTGCGCCAGGCGAGGATGACAGAGCACGTGGCGACACGTCAGCGAGGTCGACAATATCGGCTTCGGGGCTGGAGATATGCCAGATGTCCACATCGGAATGTCAAGAGCACGTACCTCTGCGTGCGGAGGATGCCGTCCGTTTGGGCAAAAAGAACATCCAAGACGTGAGAGAAGTCGGAAAAGCGGCAGCGGGAGACAACGGCTGTAAGGTGACGGATGAAGGCGCTTCCGTTGGGAGACACTATGAGTGGGAGTGGAAGCTGTGTGAGCGCAGAGCCGGATATATCCAGCGGTACGGATTTAACTTCGAGGACACCTTGGGGGACGACCCGTCTCGCGGCCGCAGGAGACTGGTGCCGCCCCTGGCCCTGGCCCACAGCCTTTTGTTCCTGCAGAAGGTGAGCGCGGCCATCGTGTTTGGGTACTTCAGCAGAGAGCACGAAAGCTGGGGGGAGATGCTGGGCCTGCTGGCGGGACAGTCCATCGTTTGCACATATCTCCTTGTTTTCCGCCCTTTTGCGTCCGCGCCGTTACTGGTGGTGGAGACCTCCGTGCACCTGCTCGAAGCCACCATATTGACGAGTGCCGTTTTCATCCTTGCGCAGCTTCACGTCGAGTTCTGGAACACGGTGATGATGGCGTCGCTCCTGTGCTCTGTGACCTTGTGCGCCGCTTTTGAGTTCCGCAGGCTGCGGCTCCCAATGCGGGCGATGCGCAACCGTTTCACCTCGCTCCGAGCGCGTTGCAACAGCCGCCATGGAGTTGGGATTCCACACGGATTTCTGAGAATGAGAGATTCCACTGGGGATTAGCACATGTAAACGGATGCCGCCCTGTCGCGTGTGGCTGCTGCACGGCGGCTCCGACCTTCTGATGCAGAACGTGACAACTGGCGAGGTTGCGGCTGAAATCTATTCCCGCCCTATACATGAGTCGACGGCGCCTGAGTGGAGCACCCTTTCCGCCAAATTGTCGAATGGGTCAATCTATTGTTGCGGCAATGAAACTGCGACTTAGCCCAGCTTGCGCACTAACATGCCGGTCGCGACGCCAGTACTTGCCGATGAGCTCGCTCCCCGACCCCCTCGAAGACGCTTGCAGGAACGCCTCAGCCTGGAGTCCTGCAATATTTCTCTGGGGTGGTTGCAAGAGATGCGCCACTGAGTTGGCAGCTGCGACGGTGGCACCAGGCCAACAGGTAGTAGCGCTGTTGAGCATGTAGATATGGGACTCAACACACGTACTGTTATTCGATATCAACGCCAAGCAAGAGACATAGAAGGCTGTGGCAGAAGGAGTCCTGCCCTCGTAGCGATCACTGGGCCCTGGACAAAGAGTCGAGCGAGGGCGTCGTCAGGGAACTCGAGCGTCGGAGCTTATACAACGGGCGGGTCACCACTGTGCATGGTATGTGAGCACCTACACACTCGGATGTATGCAATCTGCACGCTGCCGTGCGAAGCCATGAGCGCCTGCAACCCCCTGTTCCGAGTCTCAGCTCTCACAAAAGGAGGTTGACAGAAGGGTTGAAAACTATCAACAAAGCGGCGCAGGTGTGCGTGTCGGCTCCGTTTCTTACCTACTCCCGTGCACGTAAATTCCAACGCCAGGGATGAACATCAAGGCGTTGCGCATGCACGCCCTCGGAAACAGGCCAATGTTCTGCAAGTGTCTGTGTATTTACAGTCCCGTCCACAGGCCCGCCCAGAACCCCCAGCAGCAGAAAGAGTGCGTGTGTGTTTGGCAACGTGGCTGTGTTGCCCTCTGCACAATTCAATGGAATTGACGATGCATATGCTCCTAACTCTATGTCGCCTTGACGCCCCCTTGTCATCACCTCCTCTATATGTCCTCCCAAATCCCGCCGCTCCCCATCCAACTGCGATGCTATTGTGGTCCTCTGCACTTGCAAGTTGCTGCATCCCGTGGACATTGGACTGCTTTATGCCATGGGTCAGATACTATACAAGCCATGAACACATGGCAGCCCGGGAAATACCCCAAAGAATCACCCACGTTCATTGGGAGCAAGCACACCAGCTCCCGCCCCCACTTTTATTCTGCGTTCCCAGTATCCCCTCAACCTACAAATGGCAAAAATTCGATAACACTAATTTCGACTCCTGCTCCGGATCCTAGTAACTCTGCACACTAACTACAGCCTCCTAAGTCCCAACGCGACCCCTGCGCCTTTCCAGCGCCTCCTGCCTGACAGCTCATCCTGACTTCCAAAGCTTGGGCGCGCCAGGTTGAGCATCAACATCAACGCCCTGAATTTCGAGTCTTCTTGAGCAACGTCTCCAGCTCAAATCTGACGTCCTCGAACGATGGCCTCTGCTCTGCCTGTTGATGCCAACAACGCTTGACGAGCTGCTTGAACCAGATCGGTGTGCCCTCCAAGAAAACTGGTCGCAGTCCGTTCTGGATGACCTGCTGACGAATCACAATGGCAGACACCTTGCTGCCGTATGGCTTCTGCCCGCAGTACATCTCCCACAAGAGAACCCCGAAGCTGTACACATCCATGGCGAACGAGATCGGACATCTGCGGGACTGACCACAAGTGTAGGAAAGAATTTCTGGTGGCATGTACGCACAAGTACCCATCTGCATCGGCCGCAGCTCATCTACTCCCCCTGTCACTATTCTGCTTGTCCCAAAGTCGGCCACCTTGGCGGTGAAGTGCCTGCCATCCTTAGCCGCAGAGCTCAAGAGGATGTTGAGGGGCTTCAGGTCCCCATGCACGATCCCGTGCTCCTTTTGCAGGTGGTCCATGGCCTGTGCTATCTCCAAGGCTGTCAAGAGGATCCACTCCATGTTCGCACTGCCCCCTTTCCTGAACTTCCCATCGCGAATGGCCCTCTCCAGCGTGCCAAGGCTGCAATACTCCATCACTAAGACAGCCCACTTCGTGCCAACCAGGTTGTAGTGAGGCCACTTGGCCTTGAGAACCCTGGCCAGCCAGTTGCCACCTTCCAAGCTCCTCCCAGCACCCCCACCACCAACAGCTGCTGGTGCTGGCCCTGATGTATAAGGGCCCCACAGATAGTGGGGCAGGAATTGATGGAATAGCTTGAGCTTCTTCACCAGCCAGCCCAGGTAGGTGTCGTCTGCTTCTCCATTCAATGCAGGCTGTCTGGATCTGGGCCCAGGGTCAGTGCCACAGGCACCCAGCAGCTCCTACAGCAGACAATGAACATAATGGCATTCACCAGTTCCCAGATCCATTATCTGGCAATACATTGATTCAATGTGCTGCTGCCCATGCTGACAAGTTTGGATCAAAATATGCTTGGATGAAACAAAAAGTGTTTGGTATCCATATCGGCAATGATCCTGGCTAAAGCAGCACAGCTGGGCCTGCCTAACATGTATGTAATGATATCTGGATGCTTGCACCTGCCAAAGATGTAACCCTTGCACGATACACAACCTCCCCAGCCCCCGAAACGAAGCACAGGACAAGCACTGGTCTCCACATTGGTATACATACCTCGTATTCTGCATTCGGGAAGCTGACCAACGTCCTGACAACATTGGGGTGGGAGACGATGGTTGCCAGACTCACTTCTGCCGCGACCACCACGTTCAAGTCCATGTGCCCAACGCCTCTGGAGTGCACAAACACTTTCACAGCCGTCTTCGTTGTGTGCCACATGGACTCCAGTACCAGACCGCTGGAACCCTCTCCAAGAACGGACAGCAACTGTAGGCTTCTGGGCAAGCTCTGCAGGTTGCTCCCCTTCCTGGTGTTGCATTTCTTTGCCTGGATCTTCTTCTTGATGTCTTCCACGTTCGGCAGCGGGGCGCCAACCAGCTGGGCTCCAACCTGCTGGGCTGTTGCCAATTTCTGCTGCCTGACAGCCTTGCCAAGCAGGGTCTCCAAATCTTCCTCCAGGTCACCCCTCAGCCTTGTGTAAACTTTGTGTCCAAGGAGACCAATGACGCCCTCCACTTGCTCCCTGTAGCTAGACTCATCAAATGCTTGGCGTGTGGGTGCCACCAGGTATACCACACCATACAATGAGGGCGCTTCATCTCCGAGTCCGAGTTCCACACCAGGCTGCAGACCTGACTGTCCAGGCATAGGGCAGCTGGGAGGCCCTTTGAGTCTCACCTCGACGGCCTCATGACAACCACGTGGTCGAAAATGGGCACCATCGTGTCCCGACATTCCAGATCCCGAAGACCTGCTCTCTTGAGTGCCAGACACACCAGAAAATGCTCCCCCCTTGGCCGAGCATGGGCTTGTCGATCTGCTTGCCTTGCTGGTGTGGCTGGGACAGCCTTGTCTCACCTGTGCAGGGCCGGGCACCCAGGGCAGCTGCACAAAATCATCCACTTTGGGCATGCTTGTTGAAGATATGCCTGGAGGGTTCTCCGCCGGTGAACATCTGACTTGGTGCCTTTTTTGCAGCCCATCCAGTGCCATTTCTGCAGCGTAAGGCATAGACAGGGCATCATGTGTTCTTGCTAACCCAGGTCCAGGAAATGATTCCGCCTGCCCAGGCAGTTCCACCGGCGATTGCAGCTTGCTTGGGCGTTTCAAACCCATTTTCCCACTGGCAGATGCGAAGACTTGAAGGTCAGACGCTGAACGCTGGGGCATTCTACCGCGGGCACCAGTCCACGTGTTGCCACTGGCACTGCCTGAGAAGACAAGTTTGATGTCTGACGCCGAACGCTGTGTGCACTTCCCATGTCCTGGCTTGTGCGCTGGGGCCCAAGTCGGCACTTCCGCATGCTTGTGTCCGGTCGAAGATCCTGGCCAGAATCCTACAGCCTGGCCCACGGGCAGCTGCTGCCGTTCAACTGAGAGATCAAGGCTGCACCGATGCAGACTTGAATCGCAACTGGATCCAGCATGTGTGCCTTCTTGCAACTTGTGAACTGACGATGGCTCCTTGCCATGCACAATCGGACGGGTTGCTGCACTCCCGGCCCTCAGTTCCTGCACACCAGCACTGCCCGCTTCTCCGATGCCAACATTGAGCACTTTTAGCCCCTCACACCCAGTTTCAGAGTTCGAGACCAGTGCCGCAGACCCACCCCTATCTGATTGTTCATTGCCCTGTGCTGTAGCATCAGTGCAGAAACTACCCCTCTGGTCTGCACCTTGGCACAGACACGGAGTTCCCTTGTTGCTGGATGTCCCCTTAAGTATTTCCCTCTTCAGCCTGCAGACCTGCTCCCCGATCGCACTGAAATCCTTGATGCTTGATGCGGAACGCCTCATCGGGACTATGCCTGGCGTCCATCCATTGCCTTGGCTGCGACATGGGAGGATACCCTTCAAGTCAGACACCGAGCGCTGAACTGGAGGCCCAGCCAGGGCCCACCTGCCACCGCCACTATTACATTGTGGCTGGTGTGTGTATCTTGAAGTCGTAAAAGAGGGAGACGGACCACACTCCTTGTCTTGCATGCTCTGCCCGGACGGGGTCAAAGGCACAGGGGTGTTTGCCAGATCCTCTGACGATTGTAATTGCAACATCGATGGGCTCATGGAAACCGGCAACCGATCGTCCTCTAAAGGTCGCGCACCAGTGCATGGCTTTGGGCCTGCCCCAGAACTGGATGCACACTGTGTTTCTAACCTTCCCTCTGTGCCCACAATCACCGCTTCATGGTTCACAGCCTTCCCTCTTGCAGCACCAAAATCAGACAAACTCAGGTTGTCTGCGCTGTGCGCCTTGCTCACGCAAGACTGTGTCAGTTTATTGCGCTCCCCACAATACCCATGGGGAGTACCCGTTGCTTCCCTTCTATAAAAAATGTGAAATCCATCAAGCTGGGTGGAATCGCCATCGACCGTTGCATTGCACTGAAAGGGCAACGAGTCATTGCTGTGCATTGCCACAACACTTTCTTCTTCCAAACTTTGGCACTGTCCCATAGAAGATGTGGAATCCCCGCAGTCAGAGACTGAGCCCTGCAAACAAGGAGCTCCAGCCAATCCGGTGTTGCGGCCAGAAACAGGATCCTTGAGGCTCAGCACTTCATCTTTTTGACAGTATTCTTGGCCCCTGCACGCCTCACACCAAAATTCCAATCCTCTGTGCATCGACCCACACCCCGTCAGTGCAGGCACACCGGCGACCCCTGGGCCCGGCAGCCACGCAGAATGGGCGCGAGTGCCACTGTTTGCTGCCACACTCTTGTTCTGGCCCAACCCAATCTCTTTGCCATCCTGTCTTGTCTCTTGCGTCTTGTCAAGTAAAACCGGAACTCGAAATCCACGAGCTACGTCCCTCGATGGCAAAGCAGCCCTCCCCACCTTGCCATCGGCCCCACGTTCCCGCAACAGGTCCCTGAGATCAGACCCCGACCGCTTCGCAAACTTTCCAAGCACCGGCCTGCCGGCGCCGGGCGTCGGACCCCCACCCTCCGGGCCTGCCCTCTCACCGCCCTGCCCGTCATCTTGAATCTGGCAAGATCCCGGTGAACCACGACCCGTTCCAATCCCGTGCTCGGGCTGCCCGCCTCCCGGCCCGATGCTCTGCCACAGGAGCGAGCCCATACTGGAGCACTTCCTCAGCGGCGGCCAGCGCCCGGCCACGTACTCGCAGCCCTTCCCCCCCCGCCCCGCAGCGGGAGGGAAGCCGAGCAGCTCCCTGGAACTCCCGCAAACGGCATTCGCCGGGGTCCGCCGGCCCGCGCCCACCTCGCAAGCAACCCCCGCTCCGGCCGATCGATACGCGTCTCCCGGATCGGCCCCGGGGGCGCCCCCCGTGCTCCAGGCCTGCGGCCTGACCCGCGACGGGCGGTCCGACGTCAGCGGCACCACCAGCAGGCAGCCCATCTCCCCGGTCTCCAGGCCCAGCGCCCTGGCCTCCCCGGCCGCGGGTGGCGCGGCGAGGCAGTCAGGCACGTATACGGACCCGGATCCCGACCGCAGGGCCGCGACGTGGGTCCCGGCCTGCACCCTCACCGACGCCTCGCCGAAGCTCAGATCCATTCTCCCCCCATCCTCTCGCAGCGCGATTATCGCGGCCACGCCCCCGCGGCCGGACACCAGCCCCAGCCCCGCCGCCCTGAGGCGGAACTCCCGGATCAGAAACTCCAGCCACCGGCGCGCCGCCTCCCTAAGCCCGCCCGCCTTACCAATCCCCACCAGTGCGCGCGCGCAGCGGGGCAGCTGCCCGTCCACGATCCGCAGCGAGTACAGCGACAGGATGACGCTGACCCATGCGTCGGCGCCGGCACCGAGCTGACCCCCCACGGGCGGCCATATGACCAGCAGCCCTCTGGGCCTGCCGCCCCAAACGAGCGGCCAAGATCGCAGTCCCCCCGCCGCGTCCAACTCACCAAAATTCCCCATTCCCGCCTCCGCCATCCTGCCCGGCACCCACTCCCTGACCGCCGCCTCCAGCCGCCCCGGATCGCCGACCTCTCCGCATTGCAGCAGGAGCCCGCGATCAGATCCCACCCCCTCGGCTGACACGGCCGCGAAGCTCCCCCCGCCTTCCGCGATCACCGCCAGGCAGCCGAACGATCCACCAGTGCGCTCCACGGCTGCGCGCACAGCCTCAAAACTCGCGCGCCACGGGTCCCCGGTCGTCTGGAAGCGCGCTGCCAGGCTCGCGACATCGTCCGGCCGGAACATCCCTCAGGCGATTGCCGCCACGGGCCTACGGGGCGTTCCCGGGTTTGGAATCTTCGACCTCGGCGATGCCCGCAGCGCCGACGAGCCTTGCCGCGGCGGTGGGGGACGGGGCGGCCGTCATGGCGCCGGCATCTCCGCCCGCGGGCGCGCAACCCCTGCCAGCAACCGGCCTCCCGCCTCGGGCGCGCTGGCTGCCTCGGGCCTCCGGTCGTGGCGACGAAGTGGCGAACATCCGAGGCGCCGTGACGCGCTCAGGTACGCATTGTCGAATCAGCGGCACGTGACAAATGCGAGCGTATTGGGAGCGTATGACTATGTACTGCGCGGGGGGGGGGGCGGGCTTGGGGCAACTGCTCGCCTTGCTTCACTTGCAGTTCGCAGGGCAGTCGCACGGGGTCTGCTGACTCATCATGCCCCGAATCTGTCAATTTGTGGTTGCAGGTGGATTCGGGTACTGCCGTACTCCATGTGGGACGAGCCTGTGGCTGGTGTTGCGTTTGGCTGGGTGGGAGGGTTCCAAAGTCCGCCACGACGTCAACTGCTCGAAGGCTCGAAGGCCACCGAGTACTGCAATTACCATCTTCATCCGCACAGATATCCAGCGCCTCGTTTCGCCCGTTCAGCGGCCCCTGCTTGCGGTTGCGAACACCGGGCTTGAACCATGGATCCGCGCAGTGCGTGGGGAAGGGTTTGGAAACTTTGAGCCCCGGAAGGGGATGGGATTCGATGAGATTCCCACCAGCGCTGATGGGAAAACCACGGCGCACCGTAGTTTGCATCGAACTTGGCACACCAATCACTGATTTGTGGTGGCTTGTTTCGCGGCTGGCAAGTGTTGGCCTTGACAACTGCAACAAATGGGGTAGCAAAGGCTGGGACAAACGACATGCCCAAGCACAGCCACGGCTCTTCGCATGTGGACTCCCAATCCCCAATTGTCGGAGTCAAGTGAGGCCATCCAGCTCCTCGCCACGTCCCACTCTCCCTCCGTCACAGAGATGCTTGCCCCATTCATGTGTGTTTTGGCTCCACGTTTTATCTCCATGGCACTCATGTTCGTACATCGCCGTCAAGCACTTCCAGCCACTATGCGGCCGCTTGACAATCAAATTCGCTTTTTCCCCGCCGCCCAGTTTGCTGTTCTACACTGCACCCTTCACCGTAGCAACGCGGCTTTTTGGCCTTTTGGCAGTGCAGCCCATACCGAGTGGATGTGGACCGCACGATGATTTTGCGGATCCGCTGTGGATCAAATGGCGGTGACGGCCCTTTGAACTGCGCCAGCCAGCCCCATCGCAAGCGGGTTCTCTCAATACCGGCACTTCGGCACAACATCTGATGCGACAAAAGGGGCGCATTTGTGCAGCGACGCCCCCCAGCGCATTCCTGCAGCCCTTCCAGACGCGATGCCCAGGGATGTGAAATTTGGGCGACGCTCATTGGGCAGTGTTCCGGAGAATAAGCCACTTCACAATGCACACCAAATTTCCTTTGGAAATTTGGCAAATTGCCGAAGCGCTAGCCAGAACACGTTAGGCGAAAAGGTGAGTGCCATCAAGCCCCAGCCAGTCACCCCGACGTCCGCAGAGCTCCATTTGCCCCTCCAGCAGCATTTGAATTGGCGTTTCTACGACACAGAGATACGTGGTGCGCAATGGCTTGCAAGTATACTGTCGTTTCTATGTCGTACTCGAAACGCAATGTCCTTATAAGCATGTGTAGGTTCACAAGAAAACGTCGCGGCACCGCTTCTGACAACATTAATACTTGTACTGGTGCTGTACAGCAAATGTACTTCAGCTCCGAGTCCAAAGAAAGGTGACCGCTGTACAGCGAAAACGATGCAAATGGGGTAAAGGGTTCTACATGAACATTCGACGCAGCACTATGACGGCGAGAGTTTGCAAACAGGCAATTTCCGTGAATGCAATATTTTAGAAGCGAAGGGCGCCGTCGTGTGCTCAAGGCCCGAAAATCCGTTCACGGTCAAAGGCACAGAAATGTCAGTGAATCCACCTTCGAGCCCTGTTGCGATGCTGATGCTTGACATCAGATGTATTGCGCGCATGGCGACAACCATGCAGGGGAAAAGGCTATCAGCGTATTGTTTTTGTGCGTGCAAGCAGTAAGCACGTATGGTTACCACCACCACACACAAGAATCTGTATCTCTGCACTGCCAGATGGAAAGGTTAGCGTCAACAACAAAGTTAATACTTCAGCATACGGTTCTGCCTCGCGAACTGAACACTAATATCATGGGTGCCAATTCAGCTGCACTTCATTGTCAACTTCTCAGCTTCGCACTTACAGTGCACTTCTGTTGTTAGAAAGATTTCGGCAATGTAACATCGGGCAAGCACGGTAGAGTTTTACGTGGAATTTGATGTGCTATATTCTGTAGGCCTATAAATGGGATTAACTAACGCACCATCGATGGATATTTGTACCAGCGGCATTCCCTGTTTTCCCAAAGCGTTACATCAACAGCACGGATGCCAAAGAGATTCAAGCGAGGCAGTATCACGCAAAGCGGCGCCCTTGTTTGCGCCCAGCAGACCGCTTCTCTGGCACCAGGATAAATATTAGTACTGAATTCATATAGTTCTCTATGAATTCAGCACTAATGTTTATCCTGCTGTCGGGATATCTGTATAAATAGTGCATAGTTCTGTACCACTATGGTGCAGATCTATACCACTACTAGTGCATGCACTAGTAGTGGCATAGACCTATACCATATAGATGCATCTATATTCATGTTAAAACAGGGAATAGTTCCCACAACGAATTCCCCATTGCAAACAGTATGGAGAAAGAGAGCCCCTCAGAGCAACCAGCCACAAAGCGCCCCTTGCATGCACACCCATGGACAGGGACCTCCGGTCGCTGCGCATGCCCCCAGAAACCCACTGGCCAAAGAACGGGAGGGCCAAACTTCGAGACCAGGGCTCCCTCTCCGTCCAGGCCGCGGCATCCCCTGCGCCTTGCAACAGCAGCCTCCCGGTCTCCAAAGCACCCCTCGAGATCGACAGCCCTACGCCGCGCCGCGGGCCGCGGACCCCGTACTTAACTGCCCATTCCCATTCTCCCTGGAGGGGCCGGCCAGCACCTCAGTCCACCGCCCCCCACCAGCCTGAAGAAAGCAAATGCGGCCCCAAAAAGCCACCTTCCGGAGCCACCGGGGCCCCGCTCACGATCCGCTCGAGCATGACTCCCTCAGCGCGCTCTGACTAAACGTTGACTGTTGGCGGCGCCGCGACCGCGCGGGGCGATGGCCCCCGAGCCGCCGGACGTCGAAACGGCCTGCCCAGGACGTCACGGCCTTCCCAGCCGCCCTTGCCACTCACGTTTCCACAATCCGCCCACCTCTCAGGCCAGCAATTCGCCCTCGTGCGCGGACCTTAAGAGGGCGGGGCCGGGCGGTTGGGATGACAGATATTGGCCCGTGCCAGGCCGCCGGGCTGAGACATTCAAAGTAGGGCGCCGCGGGGGCCGCTCCCTCGGCAGGAGCCCCGCGGGGGCCGCATGGGTATGCGCCGGCCCGCGGCGGGGCCGCTGTGGATAGCGCTCGGCTGCCTGCTGACCGCGAGCGTTGGGGGTCAAACGCCGGCCTACTACACCTACGACGGGCGGGGGAACAATGTGGACCACCCGGAGTGGGGGTGAGTGGGGCGGGCGGGTGATGGGGTGGCGCGAAATTCGCGGCCATTCAATGGGCGGAGCGATGATGGCACTTGGAAGGGCCAACCGGTGGTCTCGCGCGCCGCATGGGGGCGTGGAGCCACGGCCAAGGCGCCTGGCGGGAAAGGGGGTGGGGTGGGTGGGTGGGGGGTATTGTGTGCACCAAGGAGGGATTGGGGATGCCAATTGGGTGGGTTGATTTTTGCCAGTGGAGCCAAGGAAGGGATTGAGCGCCCCAGCTGCTGTTGGGCAGGAGGGCCACATGCACGGCCGCAGCGCACGCGATCACCACGCAGGGGACCGGCGGGCAGCTTGCTGTATCTCGTAGTCACGCGTGTGGCGGTACGCTCGCCGCCCATTTTCGTGCCTTGGCGCTAACTGTGCATCGAGAATTGCGATGGCGCTGATTCGGGAACCTCCATCACGCTGGCGGCATCGCCACCGCCTTCCGGACCTCCCCGCGAAGCGTGGTCATTGTGCGAAACGGTATTCATTTCGACTGATGTTGTGGCGACGCGGCCGAGACATTGAGCCGTGGAAGCAACGTAATTCGTTGCCCGTTGCATGTCGTACGCGCTCCATTTTCAAATGGCTGCTGAGACGCCAACAAGTTCGTTGCTGCGGGCACAGGGCCGCGGGAACTGAGCTCATTCGGAAGCAAGTAACGTCCACGGCCTACGCCGACGGAGTCCAAGCACTGGCTGTACGTAAGGATGCGCATTGAGCAAGTGACTCTCGTCACATAGAAATTGCAGCTGCATCGCCGTATTTTGTTCAAATGCCCGCATCCGCCCAGTTCCGTCCATTCGGCAAACATGTTCCGGAGGGTCATGGGGAACAAAATTGATTTGTGCCACTGGCTGTGATTTTAGCCACAACATTTCGACACATGTTGGCTTCTGAACCATATTTCAGACCGTTGAAAACTGTCCAATTCCGTGCTCGATGGGCCCGTGATGGCATCAAAACAGCCATCGTGTCGCACCCAGATATGGAACCGGCGTTACACGACCAAGCATATGTTCTGTTCCATGCGCGTATCCTGGCCCAAAGGCGGAACCAACCATTCTTCAGCATCATTCCCAACACCATCCCGCAGTTCTACCACCCAAGCCACTTTTCGCGCCATTATGCTGCATGACTGCAGCGATTCGCGAATGAACCAAGCGGATGACTCATCAACGATCCTTGGACGGCTCCCTCCAGGGTCCCAGCCGCCCTGGCGCCAGAGAAGTCAGCGCGCGGCTGTCCCTTCCTGCCCTGCGCTCCCAGCCCAACAGCGACCGGGGCGTCACGGACATGATCACATACATCGGC